ATGAGGGAGGGGGGAGCGGGGAGGGAAGGGAAAATGAGGACCTAATACTGGGGATTTAAGTGGAGAGAAAATGTTTTGAGAATGATGAGGGCAATGATTGTACAAATGCACTTTACACATGTGTGTATGGGTTGTGATAAGAATTGTATGAGCCCCTAATAAAGTGATTTTTTTTAAAAATCACAAATTGTTATATAAACTACTTTCAATAAGCTTATTGTGATATTACTGACATGTTTAAAGTAAATTCAAGACCTCTGCAGAGTTTTATCAAATGTGTAGCCCTGTGGAGTTATCAGCACACGCAAACCCAGCACTTCCATAAATTGATAGCCTTCATCCCCCTTGTCTTACCAATACTGCAGATCCTGGACAATCACTCATTTCTTTCCCTAACTATACATTAATGTACATTTCCTATACTTTTTCTATCATCATGTTTTTGGTCTGACTTCTTTCACCTTTTGTGCGTCTATGGAGTGTAACAATAGCTCATTGCTTTGATTGCTGAGTACTAGCCCATAGTTTAGGTGGACCATGACTTGCTTGACCATTTACCTTGGGTGGACATTTGAATTACTTCCAGAACCAGCAGGCATGTATAAGATGGCTCACAGAGCCAGCTGGTTACAGCAGGTATGTTGATCCAGTAAGTGACCTCTCTCCCCCAAATCTAGTAGATTCACTTACAATAACTGAAAAAAAAAAAATGTATCCTGGCATTGTTCACAAAAGACTGCTCAAAGAGGCACAGATTTCAGAAATAATGTAATTTTTCCCTCCAAATCCATTTCACTTCTTATCAAAACAGCATTAAAGGGCAAATGCACAAAATTCTAAAAATGATTCCTAATTTCTCTCGCAGAAAGTGAGGGAAAATGACTGAAGGTGTGACCACCACCTGAATTAAAGATATAGTTTGTCCCTTCAAAGCAAACACCTCTCCTACCACCACGCCTTCTCAGCAGGGAAGAGAAAAATCTACTAGGATCCACTAGTTTACTTTTTCCATCACAGAGGAAATTAGAAGAAGGAATATGACAAGGGAAAACTAAGGAGGAAGATAAGGTTCATAAGTTGCATGGAGGGAAAGAACAGATAGGACAGGAGTGAAAGTAGAAACTGATGAGAGAAAAGGCTCATGATGCAGCACAAACAAAGCAACTATTCGTTGCTACAACTCAGCAGAGGCTTGTTTTTTTTCCCCCTCAGGCATTACTTACTTCCCCTTCTTCCAGGTAACTGGGGAGACGGAGATAAGTGATGAAGAAAGCTGAGGGTGCCTGGTTATCAAAAGATAAAGCCTCTGGGATCTTAAAGGCTTAAAGGTAAACAAGCAGACATCTAGCTCAGAAGCAACAAAGCCCACATGGAAGAAGCACACCAGCCTGTGCGATCATGAGGTGTCGAAGGGATCACATATCAGGCATCAAAGAACAAAAAAGCATATCATTGTGAATGAGGGGGGGAGTGCCCTGTGGAGACCAGAAGCCCAACTGTAGGTCACGGGACATCCCCTTACAGAAGAGTCACAGGGAGGAGATGAGTCAGTCAGGGTGCAGTGTAGCAATGATGAAACATACAACTTTCCTCTAGTTCCTGAATTCTCCCCCACATCCCCCTATCATGATCCCAATTCTACCTTACAAATCCGGCTAGACCAGAGCATGTACACTGGTATAGACAGGAAGTGGAAACACAGGGAATCCAGGATAGATGGACCCCTCAGGATCAGTGGTGAAAGTAGAGATACCAGGAGGGTGGAGGGAAGGTGGGGCACAAAGGGGGGAACCGATCATAAGGATCTATATATAACCCCCTCCATGGGGGGACGGACAACAGAAAAGTGGGTGAGGGGAGACATTGTAAGACAAGACAAAATAATAATAATTTATAAACTATCGAAGGAGGAGAAATATGTAATGAGGCACGATGCCATTTGGAGATACACATACAAGCAACAATGATACAGTTACAAGTAAGAAGAGACTCCCAGGAACAGGAAATGGAGAGACCAGGAAGGGTCTCCCCTCCCCTGGAGTGGACAAAGAGAACACAGCCTGACTAATTTCCTACATTCGGGATTCTAGCCTCCATGTGGGGCAAGAGATTCTGTTCTTGAAAGTTGCTCACCTTGTGTCTTTCACGTCGGCATTCCTAAGAAAGGAGGTAAATTTCCTTTACAAACTCATTAATGGTAGCTTGGTATGTTGACAGCTCTGCTTTCCCAGCAATCTGACTTATGTTGTCTCCCCCAACCCTGTCACCCCTCAAGTGTTAGACAATTTTGTTCAAGAGATGGTTCTTTAACATCCCTTCCCCTACTTCCCTTACTAGAACTTACCATGGGAGTGCTTGTTTCGACAACAGTTGGCATCTCTTTTTCTTCTTCTGTACCATCCAAATGAGTAGCATGGTTGCCACAGGTACCATCTGACTAATGAGACAAACAAAAAGATTTTTCACTCACACATGTATGTCTAAATAAGATTGTGTGTTCAATGATAAGTTACATACTAAATTGTATATACGTGTATAATATATATCTATGTGGAAACAGAAAGTACTTGTGCCTTTATTGTAGCTTTTAATAAATAGTTCATAATTATTTGAGTTCTCATACGAGGGGTACCCCCCAAAAGGAATTTTTTTCAAAACTATATTTAATTTTTTTAAAAAACAACTGTATCATGTTCAAAGGACTCTCCATTACACTTAATACATTTGTCAAATTTGTGATTCCATTCTTGGAAGCATTTTTCAAACCCATTTGTTTGGATGGCTGACACAACTCCCTCCTTTTTTTTTAAACTTTTTCTACATCGTCACGTGGCTGTCTTTTCATGTCTCTCTTCATTTTCAGAAACAAAAAGAAGTTGTATGGAGCGAGGTCAGGTGAGTCAAATGCACGGGGCAAAAGAGGCCTGGTGTTTTTGCCCAAAAACTGGCATACTGAGATGGCTGTGAGGTACATTGTCATGGTGGCAACACTAGATCCCCGTCAGCCACAAATCAGGCATATTTCGTTGCACATTGTTACACAATCTTTTTAGAACCTCTAAATAGAAAGCTTGATTAACAGTCTGGCTTGGTGGAGTGAACTCCAAATGCACTATCCCCCTCACATCAACAAACAAAACAAAACAAAAACGAGCATGGTCTTGAACTTTGATTTCACTTGATGGGCTTTTTTTTGGCGAGCTGACGATGGCATCTCCCACTGGCTTGACTGATGTTGGAGCTCAGGGTCGTAAGAATAGCACCGTGTCTCATCACCTTAGGAAAAAAGTGTGGGTCAGTTTTCGGAGCTGTTCTTTCAAAGCACGGCATGTGTCTACTCAAGGCTCTTTTTCCTGGTCAGTCACAGGTCAAGCCACAAATTTTGTAGCCACCCTTCTCATTCCCAATTCTTCCATTAAAATTTCCTGAATCAAGTTCCAAGATAGTCCAGATAATCTCCCCATCTCTCCAATGGTCCATCGTCTGTCTTTGAGCACAAGTGAACAAACTTGTCAACATTTCCATCTATTCAGGAAGTTAACGGATATATCAGAACGAGGTTTGTCATCAATTGACATTTCACCTTCTTTGAAAGGGGAAAACCACTTATACACGAGTTTTATCCATGGCGCTGTCCTTGTATGGTGTGTTCAACACCACAACAGTTTCTGTGGCATTTTTCCTGAACAGGAAACAGAAATTCACAGCTGCATGCTGTTCTCTTAAATAAGCCATCACAGATCTATGTGCATATATTTATAGTCTTAGTATTAAGATAGCAGACGCACATTGGCTTCTACTCAAGTACTCCGTCAATGCAACAACACTTTGTTCTAATAACCTGGCATTCCGTGATGCTCCCCCTCACAACAAAATCGCTGAAGACAAAAATGGGTGTACAAGCAAGTGTAATGAAGAGAGAAGATGGTGCCCATCTATCAAAAGATATAGTGTCTGCAAAAGGACAAGTACAACAGGAGTCCACTGAGGTAAGCGATTAAAAAAAAATGCAAAAGGGGTATAAGGAAAAAGCTACTATACACAAACATTCTTGAGGTAAGGACCAGGTAATATGGAAGGGACCAGATCAAATGCAGGGATGCACATGGTAGACAACAGGGGAGGAGGTGGGGAAA